TATTTTTTCATTTTGTTTATTCCATCACCAACAATTTTCATTATTTTTAACAAAATTATATAAAATGATCGAGAGTGTCAAAAAGAGTACAAAATGTCAATAGGATCACTCCGATATTAATAATATTATTCTCCTATTCACTCAAACTGCTGCAACCAAATTGATTTGTATATATGGTTTCAGGACCTGCAAAAAAACTGTGAACCTGCCGCCTTTTCGTTTGAAAAACTACTAATTAACATGTCCACAGATTTGCGTACACCTCAAAACATACTGAAACAGGTAAGTCGACTTGTCTAGGATTATACTGTTATTCAGGTTATTCTCATTATACTATTTTGTTCTAAATGTATAAAATAGTTTTTTCGCAGTTTAAGGTTAATGACAGTTTTATATTAGCAAGAAGGGTGCATTACAATTTACAATACTTTTCTGTAGCAATGTTGTTATAACTTTTTCCATGGTATCAACAAGAAGAGACATGACAGCATTTTTATTTGGAATTTTTAAAAAGTATTTTTTTCTCATAACAGTTCTACCACCATTGTACTACATTATGAATAAATGTTATACATATTTAAGATGTAAATTGGCTGGAAAAATTAATAGTAATTAAAGTAGTTGTAATACTGTTCAATTAAAAAAAATAATTGATATGTGATAGTAAAGGAGCTTAATAGTGGGTTAATCAATCAAAATTCACAATATTACGTCCTTTTATTATTTGTTTTGTTTTATATATACCATTCTTTAAAGAGCAATGGAAATCCCGGATGGCTAACCACACTTAAAGTACTTAAAAATTAAAAATATAAGTTAAAGTAGTACTACTAATTTGTTTCCAATAATTGTTTGTTGTAAATCTAAGTATAATGTTTATAATAATTTTAGTTTTTTTGTTTTTAACTCTATTCGCTTACATGTCTGACAGCTTCTAAACATGTTGAGCAACATGAGAGACTGTGAAGTTGCGCTCCGGAGTCAGCTGGTGGAGGATTTAGGCCTAAAGGCGTCCGAACGTATTCGGCCCTCAACGTCCAAATCAAACGAGAATAATGATGACTATGAGTGTGACGTGTGCCATTCAATTCTTTACATATCAATGGTAACGTAAACTGCAATATTATTATTATCATAAATACAATTTGTTATTTTAAATGTAAGACAGTTGTACTTTGTCAAATTGTGAATATTCGTTTATAAATTATCAATATTCATATTGACAATACTAAACAACTTAAATCTTTGTATAATATAAATTAAAAAGTGCTCCAAATGAATTTTGGTAATGTTTCTATTCATACTAGTCGTACATTACACACATTTATACTATTTATACATATTATATATATTATATATATTTAGTCACTCTTTACATTATACAGTGGTCGCTGCTTTTTTGTTTTTTCCTTGTTATCAAGAACCGAGGGAGGAACTGCTGTTGGCATTGCTTCTCCCCCGGTCCCCATAGTTTATTGTGTACTTATACAAATTAATAAGATTCCAAGTGGTCGCTGCTTATAGTAATCACTTTAGTACTAGATAAAATGGATGACAGAGCTACTGATAATAGTGAACAAAAATTAAGTAAGTACATATTAAAGCCCGTACTTACACATTTTAACCGTGATTATAATAAGCGACGACCACTGCACTTCAAAGTTATTGGCAATTTCCTGGTTAAACCATTACTAGCTCAAATTTGTTGAAAAGTCCTTCCCTCCCTCATAGTATTTTCTAAGTATGATAAATGTTTAGAACTAAGTAGGTACTGACTTTTGAAACGAGTGGACAAATATTAAACTATGTCAAAAGAGAGATATAAGAAAATGACAGTTTGATTAATCACTTTCTGGCCCACTCTTTATACCAAAGGCTCAAAACAAAACTTGTTTGAATAACAGGCTAATTTTGTTGTTGTTTGTACAGGTGAACAATTCGCATGAAGACTGTGACTATTGTCTGAGACATGGCATTGAAATTTTATCAAAAAAACACAATCAACTCAAGTATTGCAAGTTTTTGTACACTTTTGATGAGGTGAGGAACAATGAGACAACCTTTTTTTTAAGGATAGTGGCAACAGCTACATAAAATCTTAAAATCCCACTAGAGAATAACCGTAATTCGCTTATTGAAATAATGGTCGCGATTGTCGCTAGCCGGATTTTCTCCCACCATAGTTTCGATCCCCGCTACAAGTGTGAATACAACGATTAATACTCCTTGAAAAATACGTTATAACATATATGTAACTGTTGTAACTGCCATCACTAGATACTGAATTATCAATGATGCCTCTCGGCGATCGTGGGTAACCAGTATGGTTTGGTATATAGAGGGGGAGTTACGGAGCAACATATGAGTGAGTTTTTAGTTTCTACTGTCGTTCTCTCCGGGGGGGGGGGGGGGGGTTATAGACTAGCATTTTAGAGAGAACGTCACATCCACATATTTTTTCTCCATCTCTAAACGTACAACATAGAAAATTTTACACTAACAATAATCCATTTCAATACATTATCTTTTTAAAATTTAAAGATGAGATTTATTATCTAGGGCACCTTGGAGGATTACAATTATTGTAAAATGTATATACTATTGTATCGTCCATATGGGATTGGTAGTAAGGTGATATTGTAGATAGGGTTTATTTCACAACATACACTTTTTGGAACTTTGTCACCATAACGTAATAAACATTCATTTAAGAAGTATGAAAACAAAATTTCTCATTCAACTTTAAAAGTATTATGTAATACTTTATTATCACTATGATTTGTGTTTAATTTTTTTTTTTTTGTATTTCAGACTGATTTGGATACGATATTAGTAAAACTTCGTGAAAGGATTGATTCAAAAAAAAAAAAGACATCTACCAAAAGTTGATGATGATTCCTGGATTAGTTACAAACATACTAATGTATATTTAAATAAAAAAATTTAATTTTTTTAACTACAAACAATAATTAAATAAATCTAAAAAAAAATTGCATAGGTCTTTTTCTAATGAAACTATATCAAGTTATGTTGCCGTTGAGTGTGTTCGATCATATTATATTATTATACTCTTCCTAGAGAGTAAATTTCAAGACTTAATTTTAATTTTTTAATTTTCTCATATGTTCCAACATTTTGTGATTTAATTTTTTTTTTTTATTATTATTTATTATTACAATATTATTTTAATTTTTTACATTTGTACAAAAATTGTGTTCATGTGGTCTCAGAAATTTGTTAATTATCCGTTTAGCAAATTTTTGTACTTAATAGATTTAATAATAGTATTTTATCAAACTTACATGTTGCGTGCTCGAATAGTTTTATTTGTGTACAATTCATTGTGTTGCAAAACCAATGTTGACTGGTTACTCTTGAAAATCAATAATGTTTGAAGAGTCTAGTATAAAACAAAAACAAAATAACAATAAATGAGATTAGCATTATTGAAAATATAACTGTTTCTTCTTGTGATCCTTGGTTTAAAGAAGTTAAGTATTGGTAATGGTATACCTGAAGTGACGCATTGTGATATGCCAGCGGAAAAAATAAATTTTTCTGTGGACAATATTTGGGCCCAAAGTGGTACAATTAATAGTTTCTTAGCTGTTTTGATGAGTCCTAAAGATTGATTGAAATTCTGTCCAATTTACACCTTTTTCCTGATGTTTATTTATCATTTTTACAATTTTTTCTAGAACAAGATTAAAAATAATCATTTAAAGTGCAAACCAGTGTTCCAGGACCGCTCTTAAAAGTATGTTCCGGGCCATCAGGGCCCTAACAAAACAATTCTGAGGGTCCAACAGTATTTTTACATCCAAAATATAAGCTCTTGTTCAACTTTTAAAAAATTTTGGTAGGTCTGGACTCCTAAAACTTTCCAGTTACAGCCTTAAGGCCATTACTTTAACTGTAGTCTTTTTTAAATTCTTTTATATTAGATTGAAGAGTTTCTGTGGGAAACTAATGGTATGTTGTAAATACTTTCTCTATTAATGATGTAATACGTTCTTTTCAAGGTTATATAATTCCCAAGTTTTCTGGAACATTTGTCTTACAATACATAATAATGTACTAAAAATAACCAAACTATTTGGTCCAAATCAATTTATTTCATTTAAAACCCACTGGTTCCTTTTCATTGAGATGTAGTTTATACAAACAAAACATCAGCAGACAGCCGTTAAATTATATACTGTTCAGGTTAAGAAGTAAGAACTGTACTGCACTCTGACCAGTTTTTATCGTCAGTAGTCAAGTTACATCTGTCAAATGCCCACCAAGTTTACAATCTGTATACCTGCTGTGAAGTCATGACCATAGAAGATAGATATTGCCTCGGCACAAAAATTATTATCCAGAGTAAATTTCTTATCTCAAATAAGATGCAATTTAAAATTGAAAAAAATGTGCTGTTTGAAAAAATAAATTAAGTTTGCATTTGACGTACAAATTATATTGAGAGCATGAAAATAGAACAATAATACATAAAATGTAAACAACAATAGAAGGGTAAAAGTATTGCCAATGAGATACATTAAAAAATGTATGCATTGAAAATTTTAAAAGTACAATTAAAGTATACTTAAGTCAAATTACTAATTACAAAACTACAAAATCACAAACCACACATCACTTTTAATGGTACCATGCCTAAGTACAGACATCGGCAAATAATTTTGGTGAGTCTGGAAGTGTAAAATAATAAATTAATGAGGGCCAGGGAAAAGAATCATTGACAAATCTTAATATTTTTATAAATTGAAGACAATATTATTCTGAGATATGTTCACGGTCCATGTTTTGGCAGCAAGTTGCCTACTGTTGCCTTAAAAGATCAAGTCAAAGATCAAGTTGATCTTAAATTTTTAAAGGGTCTAAATGGTGAACTAGTAATTATTTATGGTTAAGGTTAGGTATATTATATTATATAATATAATATGATTTATAATGAAATAATGAGTGTTGGAGTATAAAAATTATATTTATACTTATTTTGTACCTAAGTTGCATTAAAAATAGTATAAAACGAGTAATGAAATTAAAAAGAACAACAATGTGTTATAAAAACAATAACAAATACATAAAAAATTATCAATCTTGATGTTTTCAATTGGTAAGCTCAGGTCTGGTGCGCACAAAGTAACAACCAGATGTGTACTAAAATTATATTTTAGTGTTATTTTCCATTAATAAATCTGAAAACAAAATAATAATAATTGTTACAAGCCCAACACGTGATGGTTGTAGCAGAAAACACTGACTTATGGTATGAGAAATCACCCTGGGAATGAATTTTGCGCACATGTTTGGTCAAGTTGCTCTGGCTATTAGATGAATGGTTGCAGAATGGACAGCAATAAGGCTTGCAACGAGAGTGTATGACTGTATGTCTCTTGAGCAGCGTCAGTGTTTTAAATGATTTGTCACAAATTTGACATGGGTGTACAGGTTCATTGTGCACAGTGTTTTGGTGCGTTATCAACCGGCTCTTGATAGCAAACATAGAACCACATTCTTCACACCTTCAATAAAAAAACATTATTCATTAGAAATAAAGTTTAATTACTGAGTAAATGTACAATAAAAAATAAATACATTTCTAAAATAAAACTTAATATGACACATGTAGTAAACCAATTTTTAACATGTTTTGAGATATTGGTAGGGGCTTGTCCAGATTGGACAAGTGTAGAATTAAATATTTGAGTCATTGATTGTGCATAATGGTCTAATAAAATAACGTAAATGGACACTATACCTGTATGGGTGTCTTTGTCTTATAACTAGGGGCCTGAATTATATTCTTTTGCATATTTTTTTTGAGCCTATGCCGTCAGATGGGGGTTTGAAATCTTTACAAGTCATGAAACCGGTTAATTAATGGCAAACATTTTTTTTTTTGCATATTAGAGAATATTTTGTAAAATAAAGAATATTAGAGAATATATATCGATTCATTTTTCATAGATATTCGATATTTTTTGTTGCAGTGGCGTAAATTATACGTCTGATAATAGTAATATACTGATGTGATATTATTAATATTGATAAATTATATATTTATATACGTATATAACCATCGTATTTTATATGATCATTATGCCCTAATTAGTAATGTACTGTAATAAAGGAATAAGTAAGTAATAAGTAGCAAGGAGTCAAAAATCTCCCAGTCAGTCCGTACTTAATGTAAAACAACAGCTTTTGACTTAGAAACCATAGAAAACGATATAATATCTATTAAGGCCCATTTTCTTGTTCTTGAAACATCAATCAAAAGGTTAGAAAAGTCTTATGTGTCTCTTGTTGATTCCATAAATCTAATTGAAAATACAATTGGTCAACTTCAAAAAATACCCAGAGAAAATGGAGATAAAATAAAAATAAAATTGATCAACTTCAACAAAAAAATCGATGGCTCATCATTTTGAAAAGAGTAGCTCAAGTTTTGAATGGATGAAGTTCAACTTAGAGATAACTGTTCATCGCCTATGATGATTACTGATTTGTAAGACTCTATTATGTGCCTATTTATATCAATTTTTTTGGTATTATTTTGCGAATAAATGCATATTTTTAGTGCAAGAGAATACATTAATAAAAAAGCATATTTTATCATGATTTTTAAAGAATATTGGAAGAATAATTTCAACTTTTTAAGAGAATATTAGCACCTTATTTTGGCTATTTTAAAAGAATATAATTCCGGCCCCTACTTATAACGAACAACATAAGCAATTTGTGTTCATAGATAAGTTGGTCATTGAAATACTCACATATAAGATTTAACATTGTCATGACTGTATGAATGTACATTCATATCATGTTTTGAAGCACTGACATGGTAACAAACAGAGCAGACAAATTTTGCTCCTATGTGATCACCTTCTATGTGTTTCAATTTTTTATGTCGTTTCAATGAATCAAACAAAAATGTTTTATAAGTGCACTATAATGCAAACAAACAGACACATTAATTATTAGTCTTAGATTTGATATTTTGGTTAGGTTTATTAACAAATGGCTGTTTGTTTAAATATGAAAAATAAAATTATGAATGGTTTATACATTACCAATGAACATGAATATTGTTGTTTTTTAGTGTGACTAGCATTAACATGTCGCTCCAAGTTGTATTTATCAAAAAATTTCCGCTCACAATAACTACAAAAATAGTCGCACACTCCCATGTGACGTTTCAGATGTTTTTTCAAATCAGATTTTCTAGGTGTTTGGTACTTGCAGTCTGCACATTTGTAGATATTTTGTTTTTTTACAGCTATATAACATGAATATTATATAATAAGATCATAAAATAGAACAGGAGTTAAGTTTAAATAAAGTATGATATGATGTAAATTGTCTTACAAGGCGATTTATTTTCACTGCATAACGCTTTAAAGTTATCAAATGCCTTGCAATTTGTTTTTCTTTTACCAAATTCTACTTCTTTGAAGTTTCTAAAAAATAAATAAAAGATAACGAGAGCAAACAAAATACTTAATAGATGATAGTAAATAAACTTGCATACGTTTTAGTTGAGTTGTTCTCGGACTGTATCTCTTCTTGAATAGTGGATTCACTATCATTGATTTTACACATAAATTCCTGCAGTACTACATAAATTTTTTCGAGTGTTGATTTTTTCGATAAGGCTGTAGTCTGAACACATAAGATATTTTCAAAAGTCTGTTTACACTAAAAATTAAAATAGCTAAAATTATTATATAAGCCATAAGGTATACAAAGTTTCAAGTGTTTAATATGTATTTGTGGTTTTAGGGCACACAGTTATCATTGACAGCATCAAGTAAGCAATTTTATTATGTCATATACTTGCAAAGTAGTAAAGTGGTGATCTTATATGTAAGTAATAAATTGTTAACTGTATTTCTGTACACAACTATCATTTATTATAGGATCCTTTAATTTGGAATCTGTACTGACCATTCCACATTAAAACTATTATACAAAATATCCATCATATCATTGACAAAATATTCTTCACATAAAAAAAAAACAGTTAATATGTACTGGTATGATGAGATGTAGCACAAGCGTCGATAAGAGTCTGGTAATAAGGCCTACTTTTTAAATTAAAATCTATCTTTCCCACTTACTAGTAGCTCATATTCAAATCTTATAGAAGAAAGATACTTTTCTACAGGGTGAGGTTAGTGTTATTTAATCCAAGTTGGTATTCCTCAAAGACCTGTTGCAGTCCCATTGTTATTCAAAATATTTACTCTGATCATTCAAACACTTTCTATACTACAAGTGGAGCGTTTGTCGATGACAAAGCTTTTTCTGCTCATAAGTCTGATCCTGAAATGGCCTCACAAACATGAAACGAAGATAATTAAACCTCCCGGCAATAAAGTATAAAGACTGTGCGATCAGAGTAAATTAATCAAAATTCTTTCACTGTACATTCATGCCAGATCAAAATATTGTCTTACCATCACACAGAGTCACTGAATAATCTACCTCCAGCACAAAACGTTTATTACTTAGACCTACATTTAGATAGTGGATGACATAGCCAAGCCACATATACACTAAACGTCTTGCTTTCAATAAACATCTCTATTCCAATCTCCATAACCATCGCAATCCATTCATTCACAAACTATCTGTTCTTATCATCCAATGACCGAATTAGAATTGGTTTTGTCTATTTGAATAAATTTACCATGACATAAAGTTCCATCAATATATGGATTCTTCAAGCTTCATAAATTCAACCCATCACTTTTACTGGTTGTAAAAATTGAATTTGTAGATTATGAAATAAATTTATAATAAACAAAAAAAAAAAACAATTTTTTTATTTTCCTCAATTGAATATATTCATTAAATAATGAAATAAGTAATGGGTATTATACAATATTTATACTATAAAAAAAATTGCATAGTTGGTGATAATTTTTTCTGTTATTTTTGCATAATAATAGCAAAACAATTATTAGGTTTAGGTAGGACTAAAACTGGATTTAAGTAGTAAAAATACTTATTCAAGCACAAGTATTAAAGGTTACAGGTGTTAAATGTTTTAGGTACCTACTGAAGTTAAGAGGATCATAAAATGGTACAGAAAAAAACAAACAACATATTATTAAGTAATATACAATAAAAAATACTCGTATGATAATAATTGTACTTAAATGATTATTAGGTACCTATATTAATTGAAAAACTGTGTTAATAATTTGTTTGTAATATAATTAAATAGTAAATATTAATTTAAATTAAAATTTTTTCATAGTTTAAAAATATTATCAGTCAAAAGTGTTGATAAATAAGAAAAAAAATGCAATAACAAATGATTAATATTTACTTGCAACACCGAATCTTCTAACACTTGTGAATCGTAACTATCATCACTGTACTTAGCCATTAGGGTTTATTTATATTTTTTTATTCACTACTAGGAATACCTAATTAAATGAGATCAATATGTTAGTGACATAAGTATGGTATCGAATTCTAGTAAAATTAGTCTTCACGAATTTATTACAATAAAAAAACGAAAAAACTATGTCCATGCGAAACTGTACATCGACATGACATGCTCAGTCAAACCAGTTGAACAGTAGGTATTATGCCTGATAGAAAATTAGATATAATAAAAAAAACAACTTTCATAATAAAAAATTTAGTCATTGTTCACTTTTTATTTTAGTGGTGGGTGGGGGGTGACGGATGAAGGGTTCACTATAATATAGATACCTATGATAATAATATTATAGTACTATATTATATTTATATTTTATATAAGTATATTTACGTGCACTTAATGATGCATTTCCAGCACGAATGTTCTGGCTTGTTATCTCGTCTACAACATTTATTTGATAACTGCAACTGCACGCATTATCAGTAAACAGAATATATATTGCCCATACGGCCATACCACAGAACCTAGGTGGATTAATATATATATTTATATATCCACCTTGCACAGAACAATTTATACCAGTATCTATAGCCATGATCCTAACTACTAGCATAAGGTCTATGATATTATCACAGATTATATTAAATATAATATAGTTCACGGTCTTAGCAGATATCTTCTAAGACCGTGAATCGTGATATAGTATTTAATATAATATTATAATCTGTGATATTATCACAGAATAGCAAACAATTTTTAAGAATATTCATAGAGCTGACTAGGTACCTGAGTTCTGAGTATATGGTCCATGACTCATGAGAATATTAAACAATTTTAATAGGTATCAATGTTCTTACAAATACTCTAAGTACTCTTAGTACTAAATGTCCTAATATTTTCTTCATTTTTCAAATGACTATTCTGTTGTGGTCACGGACGTGTAGACGTGTAAACGTCTGTGATCATGGTTGAGGCCAAACTTGCTTCCATCTATGCATATTTTTTATTCTTTTGCTTATATTCTCCCACTCGTAATCCAATCTTTGGACACTGGTATAGTGGTATTCTCTGCTAAGCTCTTTTCACCTTTGTTCATTCACCTTTGGTTTGGTCTGCCTAGTGGTTTTTTTTCAATAGGAAATGTGACTTTCCTTAAAGTATCGCCTTCATTTAACCGTTTGATCTCCATAAGACCATACTTGATCAGTCCATGCAAATGCAATTCTTCTATATTGTAATACTGCTACTATCGGGGCTCTGTGGCTATTGTAGTTCTATAGGAAGGTAGTAAAGTTATAAATATATATTTTTTGGCCCTTAGTACTCTTCTTTCGAGGATTGTTATTTTTTCTTTGTCTCCTTTGTTCTCACATGCATACAGAAGTACTAACTGTGATTTTCGAATTTAAGTGATACTTAGTTGTTTTGACTTAAAGATATCTGATATTCACTAGGAATAGCATTAATTGCCGCAGTTGTTCTTCTTTTAATACCTTCATGATTATTGTTTTTGCTATATAAAGTAACGCCCAAGAATTTGAAACAATGTACTCTTTCAATTTTATAATTATCGACATCTAGCTTCTAGGTGTTCCCCATGATTCTCTCTTCTAGATATTACCATAAATCTGGTCTTTAACTAATTTATCTGTAGTCCCATGTGACGATCTCTTTATTGATAGGTCATAGGTCATTGATGTCCGTTTTACTTATTGACTATCTATTCTGATCGCCCTAATATGATAAATGATAATACTGTCCGCGTAGTATTCACTACTCCGCATTCCCGCATTGTCATCGGTCATCTTATCCACCAAATTAGATCAGCTATATTTGATCTGCGTTTTCTTCATCACCGATAATTACGGAAGTACCTCCATTACCTCTAATTTTTGACAATATCGATTTTGTGTTTTGGTAAGATACTAAAAAAAATAACTGCAGACACTAGATACATGAAATATGTCCACAGATATGAGCATATGTTAATATGTTATACACCATAATATTAAAAATATTTGACTCATTTCGAACTAATTATTAAGCAAAATCAGTGTTAAAGTTTTTATTAGTAGTACCTATGTATTTGTATCACAGTTCGTTTTTCCACGGTATTTTTTTTTTTGTTTAATTGGGAATGTTCCGCTCGGACGACTCAGAATTACCGTATCACACAATACGGTAATTTCACACTCAGTGTCCATCTATTTACCCCTCACACGAAAATATTTACCGTGTACACATTTTTTTTTTTCATGAAACCTTACTAAATTAATATTTCAAGTAAAAACACAAATTATTAAATACATTTTTTTTATTGTTATAAATTAATATTATATTTACACAAGTTCTCTTACTTCTCTAGTAAAAGGTACGGAACAAATGCACTTTACCACTCCCCTCACAATTTTCGATTTTTTTTTTGAACTTACTTATATTAGCTATTTAAGAACGATGGTGCAATCAGAATTGGTCGGTCGGACTTAGTTTCAAAGTTATGGGCTTTGGAAGTTATCAATTTTACGTTTTTTACGCATGAGCGCAACGCTGCGTTTATCACGTCTTGTACGATTCTTTAAATCTTTTTTCTTGAAACTTGCGTATATTAATGAGTTAAGAACGATGGTGCTGTCAGAAATTATCGGTCGGACTTCGTTTCGAAGTAGTCAATTTTGAAATTTTGTGTTTTTACGCATTTAATTATAAATATGATTTTAGATAATATGTTAATTATAAATACGATTTTAAATAATATGATATTATTATGGAAACTGATATTGATATACGATTAAAATAATATAATATCCTTCGACTTGCTATGCAACACAATCTTAAGTAGGTCACAGGGTAAGTAAGTTATGTCGTAGAATGAAATACACATGTTTCCCCAAAAAATAATTCAAAAAATTTTTTATAAGAGCGGTAAAATAGAGCGTCGTGAGCATGAGTAAAACACCGAAAATCGTGAACTCCGTAAGTTAATAACTTCAAAACTAATGAACACAGAATAACTGTAACTTACAACAACAACCTAGGCGCTAGGCGTATAAATAAGTTAATTAGATTTGTAGTTTTTACGTTATATAATATAACCATAACTAAAATTCTGACTGCACCATCGTTCTTATCTACGCAAGTCTCAAGAAAAAAAATTAAAAGAATCTTAAAAGAAGTGATAAACGCGGCGTTGCGCTCATCAAAATTGCCAACTTCCAGAGCCCATAACTTCGAAACTAAGTCCGACCGACAAATTCTGATTGCACCATCGTTCTTAAATAGCTAATATAAGTAAGTTCAAAAAAAAAAAAAATCGAAAATTGTGAGGGGGGAGGTAAACTGCACTTTAGCCAAAGGTACATATTCTACGATACGATCATGAATTAATAAACAATAAGCAGTTATACCTGTAAAGGATTCTGATGCCTCAATTTCCAATTGAACATCCACTGCTGAGGCTGTAGCTGAATCATTCTGCTTTGAAGTATCGATAACTATAATCGGAGCGTTTGATAGAAAAGTAGAAGGACTCAATATCGGGTTCCGTATATTTTTTTCATAGTACGTATTTTGAAAATATATCATATAATAAGGTAAAATTATTTTTTGAAAAATCCAAATTTAAATTATCATACGGATAAGCTATCGAGTTTAGAAATACTTTAACGTTTGTTAGATTACTATGATCTTTGAATTTTGATAGTAAAAATATTATTGGGCTTTTTGATGTGTACATAGGCGCCGCAAGGAATTTTATCAGAAGGGTGCATCGTACAAGTATACTCTGGTTTCTAAATAATGCTTGTATACGTAATAATAATAATAATTCAATACGTAAAAATATTTTTCTAAATTGTATAACGATACAAAGTTATTTGAGTTTTTTTTAACGGCTACAATGTAACGCGGGCTAGTGGCTGCGATTAGAAAATCCAAACATTCAGTTGAAGAATTTGAAAAAAACCCTAGGCGTTTACCTGTATTATTTAAAAAATAAGTATTATAATACATAATATAAATAATATTTATAGACAATTATGTAGAATAAGTATAGTAATAAATAATAGAAATAATGTAGGTAATTATGCAAAATAGAATAGTTTTAATACATTATACCATTCAATTTTATTTTCTTTTTTAATTTTTTTTCTTTGAAAAGCCAGGGGGGTGTAAGTGCACCCCTTTGCACCCCCTCGCGGATCCCATAGATGTGTTTTATTTAATTTTGTATTTTAATAGATACTTATTTTATTAAATAGTAGTATCTCTTACTAGAATAAAAATATATAATTTACGTTTTCTTTAGTTGTAAGTATATCATATTTATATAAGTATTTTTAATTTTAATTTGTAATTTGTATATTGTTTAATATTTTTAATATTTATATTAGTGGATTTGTATTGGAAATTGGTATTTGGCAAATAGCAAAAATGTTATTATGACGTATTACTGTATTATATTTAGACATTAATTTAATAGGATTATATTTTGATTATTGAGCAAATTTATTTGTATTGAATATTATTAATATTGTTTAATATTTTTATTTTTTGGAAACGTCCATTGCATCGGGGGCGCTAGATTCCACATGCGGGTGTAAGCGTCCTCAAGAAATTCCATATTATAGTATTATACATCCGTCGTCCGTGGGTACAATAACATAAACGCTAAAGATACCAAGAGTTGGATTCTATTACAGCTACTAGATTCAGCCAATCATATAGGTGGGTTCATACCTCGTCGTGTCGTGCAGTGTTCCGTATATTTAATAGGTAACAAAATGCTAGTCACCCTTTGGCCTTTATCCACGAGTTGAATATATTATACTCTACACGACACCTCACTGATTTTTTTCCAGCAACACAACAATCACCGAGTTACTAGTTTCAAAATATTCTTATCAGATAATTATCTATATAATATAACCTCAAATAATAATTGTGTACCTTGGTATCGGTTATTTATTATTGTCAATATTGTGTATTGTAATTTGTAGTTGTATTGTGGAATAATATGGGCTATAGAGATTGGAGATTGACGAATGACGGCAGACAATATATTATTTTGTAAACATAGTTCGTCTTCAACGCGTACTTGCGTTCATCACGATTCGCTCAGCCGTTGACGAGATAAAAAAATTATTTTTAATTGCACAATGTTCATGAACTATTTCTCATTTCTATTGTAATTAACAGTACATTACATTCGATTCATCATCATAATTATTATTGTTACGATTGAGGTCTTAAGCTTCTAAGTTTTTATCGTCTGGATTGTCGTTTGTCCGGTGAAACGTACCATTTGAGAACAGTTCGGCGCCAAACCGTTTCGTCTGTATTGCGCAGGCCGCCTCCGCACCGTACCACGGGAACCGACGAGCCGACTCCCCGAAATCAACTTAGGTACAACATTTATCGATCTTCGGACGTCGCGTTTCTATTTTCACGTTTGTGAAGTTCGCTGATAAAAGTGTCCATTACACTGACAATAATATAGGACATAGGTTTATATTATTATTTTATTTTTATCAGCCGAACGCCGTTGTTGTTATGGTCAGTTTACTCACGGTCTGTGATTAAATAGATGCACATGCAATTGAAATTTAAAAACGGATGCAGTGTACTTGACTGACAAACAATTGTTTTTTTTTTTGTTTAATAAATTATCTGTTATTAACTTAATTGTAGGTGTAAATGGCATCATTTAATCAAAGCGCGGATGAAAATAAACAGAATGGCAAGAGGAAATGGAATGAATCACATTCAGACATTGAAAGAAATTCTCAAGATGACGAGGATGACCACTCAACTACTGGTAAATTAAATATTGTTTAATATTGGTTTAGTTGTAAAAAGTTGATAATTTATTCATATAATTTGTTATTAAAGCTTTTAACAGATACATAATCTGCTCTCTATACCTAATACAAATTCTAATTAAAATAATTTATCAAGAGTAACTACCTAATACAAAATAGTTCAATCATTAAGAATCACATAAAAATTTAAACCAATAATTGGTACCTACTTAGATTAAAATTTATCTTGCTATAAATATGAAGTAAAAAAAGTGTTACCGTTGGGTATCTCTTTTTACCAGCCATTTACATGTAATCAATACTATACAGCTCATAGGTACACTTATTGTAAAAAACAAATAATTTACAGATTGTGTATTTCAAATAAAAATTATAAAAAAGAACTTGCTATAAAAATGTTTTTATAAATATCGGATGGCATTTGAGAGATGATGATTTTAAATTAATGATTGATATGATAGTTATGTTATGTACCTTTATTAAGATACTGAAATTAACATATTGGTATATTTTCTTTCTTTAATGGATGTGCATGTGTTATGAATAAACTTAATAGGGATTATTATTATTTTTTCTTTATAAAAATTAGTATAAGTATCTTTTGAATAAAGTAGGTATGTTTATTAGTTGTGATAGGCTTGTAACTTGTAAAAATGTACCTTTGTTATTTAATTAAAACATGTCTATTAAGTATTAGTATATGTGGTTATATTGTGCCAAGTGGATTAAGAGAGATAAAACAATTTTTACTAATTAACAAATATTAGCTATGCATTGGTAAGTAATGATAATTTGTTCATAAATAGAATACAAATTATTAATGCATGAGTATCTTGTACTCAGTGGTGGCGTGATCTTTTTTTTCTATGAAGCGACTATTAAAATAAGTACTTGCCCACCAATTATTTTCAACTAACCCATACGCCACTCTCACTACCAAATCCAATTCATAAAAGTACATAAAATATTCGTAAATTATATACAAGTCTATCATCAAATACTCTTCTCCGCTTTTATAGGAAGCTGTCGCTTCATAAAATAGGTATTCACACCCCCACTGCTAGTATTTAAAGATTATTCACACTTATATTTGTAGATTAGATATTTTATTAACTACATAATACATTTCAAATATATCTTTAGGATTAAATTGGTATACTTTTATAATATACCATGAGCTTAAAATAAAGAAAATGTACTGTGGTAAATCTCCTTATAATAAATATAAGAATTAAGAATACTATATTAAAAAGTAATTTATTTACTTAAATATTTGCACTCATTATTCTAAGTAGGGCTTATTTTGTCCTAAAATAGTTTGGCATCAGTTTAAAATGTTGTCTTCACTATTTTTTTTTTAAGTTAATGATAAAGTACTTATAACCATAAGATTTTAAAATTACATTTGTGATGAGTGTTAAGTATTCTTTTATCTATCATAGTTCATTAATATCACCTTCATATTATCAGCATTTAGGGAAAACTTAAAATACTATAATCTTTAATTATTGATCTAAAAATGTTAAAATAATCATACATTCTAAATTTAAAAATATATCTATTGCTCCGAGTTATCTAAAATAATTTAAATTTTGTACCACAAACTAATACATTAAAATGTTTAAAAAAACATTTAATTAGGGTGATTCCATGTATATAAGTATAGTATCCCTGAATTCTATCTTTATTATAACTCTTTTTATTTGTTTAAACAAACTATTGTTTGTTTTTAAGTGTGTAATATACATTTTATTCATAATTCAAATTCATTGTTGATATGCGGTTGTTTCTATTTATTTATTATATTGGTATTTGGTATTTCCTTAAAGAAACATTTTATACATGATATTTCATGTTTTATGGGTTGAAAATGTGTAAAAGAATGAAAATGGACAAAAACAATTTGGTTTCTATTTTTTTTTTAATTGGAAAATCATCAAACTTCAAATTGTTAAAACTTGAAAAAAAGGCATCTACCAAAATCTAATTCCTTCATTATTCTTAACTTTGATGTTGTTTCAAAAAATTTTTTTCATTGTTTCGGAACTAAATTGCATTCTATACAAGATGTAAGTTATTTAGTTCAAATTTGAATTTTCTAGATATTTTGGTAAGCACTTACGACTATTTTTATTATTTCAAGTTTAAAGTAAATTGCTTTTTTTATTAAATCAAAGTGTTTTTATTTTTTATCAATATTCTTAATGAATTATGTTGTCAGAATTATTCATTTGTAAGGAAAGTAATATTAATAATTTAAGATGTAAATATACTTTATTTAAAATTAAATTAATCAACAATTTTAAAATTTATTTTTCCTATCATTTACTTGTCTAAATAATCAGCAATAAATAAAAAATGATATAAAAATAGGTCCTAGAAATTTGAGTGCATTAATTAACAAGGTATTAGAATAATAGAAAGTATACATTATATGCTGAGGACAACATTTCAAATTAAAATTGGAATTAAGTTAATAGTTAAATGTATAATGTTATGTTGTTTGGAATGCAACATGACAATTTTAATTTAATTTTGTTTATTCAAATAATATTAATTAATTAATAAATTCAAATATTATTTTAGGAAAGATTATTATACCTACTATTACACCTTTTCATCACTATTTAATATTTTCCCATTTACTTATGATATATTAGGGAACTAAAATTTTATTATAACTATACATTTTCTTTAATGATTGCATGCTTGAAGTATATTTTTGATTACTTAGATTATTTGCTGGTTGAACAAAAAAAAAAAAAATTACAAACATAAATATTGCTGTAATATTTCTTTGATTATTTCATTGGCCTATAAATGTTGTTTTAGGTTTGTCAAATACTCAAATTAATTGCATACCAGCATTAAAATTGCTAATAATCAATATTTACATACTTGATCTGCACATATATATTGTACTGCATTGATTAGGTATATACAAATCAATAATATATTTTAATTTAAATATTTTTGTCAGATATGTTGTATCAAAACTGAGAGTTTATATTCATATTTCTGCAATGTGGTTTAAAAAGTGAGTTATTAATTAAATAGTTGTAGCCTGTAGGTAGATCATTTAGTAGTGTATATTAATATACCTAATATATATCATTACTTTAAATTTATTCAAAATAGAGTTG